TGAAGGAGGTGGATGATTTGTTCCGTGAGTGAGCTTGGGCAATGGTGTCTGGCTTGAAGTGCTTGGCAATTTGACAATCACTACTCTGCGTTGGAAGGATGGAAGTGATTATCTTATGTACATGAAGAGGCTGGGAAGGAGGTAGCTATTAATGAAAGCTGTGTGTGGCTTAGACTAGTTGTGGGATCCTGTAGGCGGTGTATGATCGGACACGCATTACCCAACTTGTAATGCTCGTAGGTGGTCAAAATCACAAGATAGAAGAAGTCTGAGATTCTGAGTATGATCTAGCTATCCATTTTATAATACAAAACATATAGTAAGCAAAATCAACGCACAATGCCAAGAATATCAAAAAACAAAAGCAGTTTAGTGCTGTACAACACTTTTATTCATGGATTCACCATGCTGGCATCCCGACACTAGTTTCTAAAGGTGCAGGGATTCAGTAATTAGTGGACTGTCCATCAACTACGGCTCGTTTTCATTGCGATGAGCATGACGAATGGTTTGCTGAACTTAGCACTAGTTTTAAACAATATTAATTACTCCTTACATAATTGTAACTCGGAAATGGCTAGCTAGCTAATTAGTAATATAAAAAATCAATATATATATTTAGGTAGGCGCAATGATACAACATTCTTTTTCCGATCTCCCTCAGACGTTTTAGCGGATAATATCGGCGTTATAGCAGTAAACAGTGGATTTTCTAGTGCTATTAGTTGTCTTGTAATCCGCCACTCTAACAGTTTATAATCTTTGTTTCAAAACAGCTTTCGAATAAGAAATCAATCGATTATTGTTTGTGCTACTCTTAGGTGATATTCAATATGTGGATTGGCAGTGACGGTGCTCGAATTTGCAAATACCTGCTGGGCGTTTCATCACATAGGGCATTTCATATCCCCGGGATGGTGGTTAACAGTGAACCATTCCGGTTTTCCTGGCTCCGGTTCATTGTAACAACCTTGCCCGAGAATCACAATTTATGAAATATGAGAAAATCTTGCATCATACACAGCGAGAAGTTTTCTGACTACGCTGCTATTTAAAAATTTCCCCCGTTTTATTTCGAAATATGAATTGTGGTGACACTGCCTGATGCGTAGATTGTAGAGTGAGAAAGGAGACCTGAATGGAAAGGAGATCCCAACGTTGTCTGCAAGTGAGCGGAAGTGCAGGAAATGCATATTCGGAGTCCAAATAGGAACTTTTGAAGGACAACAAAGAATATGTGTACTCTAATAGGAGTATACCACCTCATCTCCCTAGATCGTAAAAGCAAGGTGAGAACGGCGTGTTTTCCGCAGATTTGGGCCGGTATAGTGAAAGTCGAAAACATACCCTCCGACACACGCCGTGCTTCACCGTCCGTGCCTGAACCACGTTAAACCGCGTCAGGTTCTCACTAAAACCAAATTACTGTTGAAACGTATCATAACTCCAACGTATTAATTTCAGCGATGAATAGAGTAATTGTAAAATACTGTAAAAACCTTCGCAGACTTTAAACATGGTTGGAAGTAACGCTGAGAGATCTGGCAATCTAGCAAAATCGCCGCCGAGCTGAGTTTCCCTTCATCCATTGACAGGCACGTCGACCCTTAAAGTCGCGTTAACTTCCCAGAGAAGTTCCCTGGAAGGATGCTCTTATTCTTCACGCCGACTATTGCTCACTGATAGCTCCGGTGCTCTCTCCCTTTGACTGACATACGACCTAGCCGTGTCTGGATTATTTGGTGACGCGAGCCCGCGCCATGTCAAGTTTACACCTTCATAAGTCAGCATTGAGCACCAATCACCAGTGAGAAGAAAACTTGTTTCTGCCTGGTGCAACACCACTGCGTCATTGTTCCTGAATCACCGGGGATAGTAGGTATGTTTCCTGGCCCCGCTTCGTTTCCGCAAATTTCATGAAAGTTAACAGCACTATTCCGTCTACTCTTACAGCACGATTTGCTCTATTGCTGAGGCTTACTCTACGGCGATCTCTTTTTGGAATCTTCCTTATATATATCTTGCTCTGTGTCAATAATTGGGCTCGCCGATAGCCCCATTTATTTATTTCTTCTTGTCTTTCCATCTCAATCCAGGTATGTTCATTTGAAGAGATCTTCTATTTCTTGTTACACTATTGAAGTCCGCATATAAGCTAACCGCTTTGATTCACAATAGGTCTCCCTGAGTTATCGAGATTAACGCGACGCAATAACCGCTACAGCCACCCAACTGGATCGTCTGCTAGCCTCTCTAGCCAAAGCCAGCATGAACACCACTTGCTCAATGTATTGTCGCCGGTGCCTAAAGAATTATAGTCAAACGATGCTCGCACATACTCAGTCTCAGATTTCAATTCTGGTTGGACTAGATGAGTATTCCAAAATGACCAACAAGGACGTAGGTCGTGTAACCTCCAGCGATGTGCCACACCATCAGCACCCTGATCCTCAGAATACAGACATGATAGAAGAAGACAGAGACTCATTACTAAGGAAATAGATTGTTCTCAATTTTTAGCTATACAGCTTCTGTTCTGCTAGTCCAATGCAGTGATTAATGTATCAGTGCACCTGGTCAAAAGCGAAAATTTGTAAATTCTGCTCTTCTATGACCAGTTTCCTCTGCTGATCCCAAAACAGTTGCATTTGGATGGAAATTTCATGTAATATACAGAGCTCACACGTGACACGGTCGTTATAGAGGAAAATGTATTAATTACTTAGAAAATGCTCGTTGTTACCTGAGCCAGTAGTACTTTAGCGTAGTTTCGGCACATCCTGAGAAACATGGCATGTGAGCGTCCGCGGGGAATCTGTTTTAGACTTTCACTGTATGAAATTATGGCTCACATTGCCACTGCACGACATCGGTTCTGGAGACGAGCCGTGAAGATGTGGACTGACATTCACACCCTACCAGCAACCAATCCCCTCCGCAGGAGTACAGCTCAGATCAGAAAATTCAGAAGATACCACCGGTCGCCATTGTATCAGGTCGCAGACGCGCTGAAGAGCATCGAGATGGAATCACTGGAAACTATCAATCCATTTACATTAGCGCCATGGGAGGAACGTATACACGGCGATAGACAGGATTCATCAGAGACACAGACCGAAACGGGCGGAGTCATGCGCATTGCGGTCAGCAGTTCAGCACGAAATGAGAAGGTAGGATTCGGCGTGGCGATCGAGAAGCAGCCACCTCGGTATCGTAAGCCGAGGCTGAAGACCTTCTCTGTCACACTGGGCGCAAGAGCAGAGCAGAACCCATACTCCGGCGAATTGGCAGCAATGGCATACGCACTGGGTACGCTACAGGGACTGAAACGGTGCAGGGTCACGCTGCTCACCAGCAACAAAGCGGCGGGACTCACACTGAGGAATCCTCGACAGCAGTCAGGCCAGGAACACATCTGCCAGATATACAAGTTGACCCAAAGACTACGGAGACACGAAAACCGAATGGACATCCGCTGGGTTCCGACCAGCGAGCATAACCAATTGTTGAGCCTGGCGAAAGAGCAGGCCAGAGCCGCGACACAAGAGGATGCTACCCCTCAAGCACAGGTCCACAGAATGAAGTCAACCACCCTGAACATCGCACGGTCCCAAGCAGTCACCAGCAAAGGCTTGCCAGAGAACATAGGGCGACATTCCAAACGAGTAGATGCAGCACTCCCAGGGAAACACACCCGGCAGCTGTATGATCAATTATCGTGGAAAGAAGCAAGCGTGCTGGCCCAACTCCGGACTGGCATGGCAAGACTCAACGGATATCTTTACCGAATCAGCGTCGCCGAGACAGATCAATGTGCATGTGGACAAGCAAGAGAGACCGTGGAACACTTCCTCTTTCGATGTCGGAAGTGGACCGCACACCGGACGGGAATGCTGCAATGTACCCATGCTCACCGAGGGAATATATCCTTCTTCCTGGGCGGAAAGTCGCCGTCAGATGATCAGAACTGGACACCGAATCTAGAAGCAGTGCGAGCCTCAATACGGTTTGCAATCGCCACGGGCCGACTGGACGCCACTTAGCCATGTCGACCAACATAAACGAACCCCTCCCCCCCGAACTAACCCCCACCCACCACCTCGTGCCAGAGACGGTAGACGCGCTTCAACTGCCGAGAATAGGATGTTGAACACTTGAAGAAGCGCCTTCAAGCCAGCCTACTAACAAAATTACTATCCCGCGAGGATCCACCACGATAATGACAGTTGAGATGACATATACAGAAAGTAACCATGTATGGGCTGCAAGGAGACACGGCATATACTAGGGACATGTATTGATAAAATAGTGATAGTTGCCCTTTCGGCTTCGCCGCCGGGCGTTAATGAATTGTGTGTGTGTGTGTGTGTAAACCCACAAGGACCCGCGAAGATATTGATATCTGAGATGACATACACTGAAACGAATCTTGTATGGGCTCCAAGGAGGCACCGCATTAGCTAGAGCATGTATATTTAGATCAGTGATAGTTGCCCTTTCGGTTCAGCCGCCGGGCGTTAATAAATTGTGTGTGTGTGTGTGTGTGTGTGTGTGTGTGTGTGTGTGTGTGTGTGTGTGTGTGTAAACCCACTATTTTCAATGATTTTCTTTGCGGGAACCTGGCGGAGCTCGTCGAGGGTAGTCACATTGAGAACTTTTTTCAGTTTGGATCCCAAGGCTAACGAGGTGGACATATTATTGCAACTCTCAGCAAGCTCGGTAGATGCAGGGTCGCGAGGGTCGCGAATACCACTCTCGGCAATAGCACCCACAATTAGACCTTTAGGCAACAGGCTATTAACGGTATGATACACAGCGGCACTGCCAGCTGAATGGCCGACAGTAATGATTCGCTTCAGTCGCCACCAACGGCAGCGATATTCTCGTGAACCAATTTCAACGCTTGAATCTGGTTAAGCAGTCCATAACTTCCTGTTGTGAAATTTTCCCAATTCTTCCTACATCTCCGGCAAAGCAAGCTAGCCATAGAGACCGGTGCACTAGTTGTAGGTCACGACAACGATATCTTTGAGTGCAAGACCACTGCCGTCGAACATACTCCACGCACCATTGGCACCAGCGGAATAGCTCCAGATCATAACGGGTCTTTTTTCAACAGTGGAGCTTGCCGAGCTCCATATATTGAGGTTGAGGCAGTCCTCGTCATAGACAGTATCCGCAGAGCCCATTGGCGAAGGCCCTGCCGGGCATGCTTATCCGAATGTATCAGTGATCAGGGTTCCGTTCCAGCCGCTGCGGGGTTGTGGAGGCTTCTAGCGATTCTGACCGCTGGTGGTAGTTGCAGCAAAAGGTATCCCTTTCCAGACAGTAACGGTCTCATAGCTATCAAGATAGGTACAACAGGTGGCGTTGAGAGCTGGAATGCCTTTTACGTCACTATATTTAGTATTGATGGTGGTGTTGTAGAGGTAAGCGGACGAGGTGGCAGCACCGGCTATCAGCGCTGTCAAGAAGTGGCTGCGGCACTTTATTACGTGACTTTTCGAAGACAAATTGAATTTTAACTTTAGAGCATCCTTCCAAGGGACAACTTATCTTATTATTTAAGAACCAAAGACGGCGTCCAATGCGGAGTTCACTGACCGAGCTAACCCATCAATCTCCTACTTCACGGCGACGACGGCCACTTGGGCGTCTTGTAGTAGCGTTGTTATGAGAAAGTCATGGCCCATGATGATCGTTTTACTTTAGCTACTTGATCTGCAAATTAGACTTGCATTTGATAGACTGCAGTGCATTCCGTCCAGACGGAGGAGTCGTGCATACGGCATCTTGGTCCGAACCACATCAGGATGACCGGTGAGACAATGGCCAATTATTTGTGAAACAGATTAAGGCTAGATCATTCTAGTGTAAATCTTGTTATAAACTTTGGAAGACATTCTGCGAGAGCATGTCTAAATCTCTGCGAAGGAAACTGTTATTAGTTCTCTCTGTATCAAAAAGAGGGAAATACTATACAATCACCGTATTCTAGTAGTACGGCAGTCATTGAGATGAGCTTTATAGTAAATCGGAGGGGCTTGAAACTTCGAATTGTTCCAGCGTTTTAACTGGCAAAGGAACCGAGTGCGGGTGTCAAATTGAACAATCGCAGCCCTAACCCTTAAGCAACACAAACCCCGGGACCACCCGACCGTGACGAAGATCGTTATCTGACCGATTGTCGAGACCCAGGCGTACCACCATACCACTAAATTGCTATAATCGAAAGGAATAAACCGACAATAAACAGAAAAGACATACTCTCAACTGAAGCAGAATTCCCAGTACACCCATTAAACAGGCCAAGCTAGGGATTAAAGAGAAAGTAGAAAGAAAGATATGAGATTTCGAAGATAGCTTGAAGCTGCGAGAGCTGCACCAGTATAAAACATACAACAGATTCAAGTCCGGATCATTGCATAACGATCCCGATTGAACAGTCTCCTTGGTTCTGCTCCTTGCAATTGGGCCTTTTGATTATATACATGCTATGTTTTAGACATTACGAGCAGCATATTCCACGCCAAATTCATGATTGATTTCTTCTCGAACGTCTTCCAAAGTCATTGCTTTAATTTAGGGTAGAGTGAATAAAGACCACTAAGATCTGTACTATATCCATGGATGACTTAAGAAGAGAGCTTTGAAACTACTCAGGTAAGATATAGTACTATATAGTTATAGGAGTAGTTTATGAAATCATGTATTTCTCGAGACATGAGATTCCTTTATGAGACTAGTTGTATTAGACGGTGGATCAAATCAAAGGCCTGCTCTCGTCAATGTATTTTTTCTATTTGGTTCTTTCGCCAGGAAGAGGTGAGCTTCTTTTAAGGGTGTTAAAAAGAGATGGGCAATGATTGTGGTCATCATGAAATCAAAACGGAATAAGTCTGGATCGGTTCCAAGCTTACCGTGTGATTCCAATTTGAACTTTATAAGGTTCGCGTTTCTGAATAAAGATAACCTTGTACACAGTAAATATATACATCCACCCTGTGCGGTTCACCAAGGACCCAAGTTGAGACCCTGTCAATTCCAAGGTTATCCTTGCAGCCCTGGAGAACTTGGAAGTTAGTTGATTATCTTGGGTGAAATCAAGATCTTCAATACTTGATATGATCACTATGAACAGGACGAGGTAAGTCCGCAACGGACTTTGACACTCATGCTATTCCCATTAGATGCCTTTCTGAAGACAGAAGGTCTGTGCAAAGCGGCAGGCGGGGGAATTCCGGTCAATTCGGCCAAAAACACCCCGCGATGGTACCCAATTTAGCAATGTCGCCCGAGGCTCGGAAATAGCATTTCATGATTTTTCTCGTCTTGTAACAATGGATCTCTTTTTGAATCGATGCTCACTATTCTATAGACAAAAAGGAGATGGCAATGAGATGTATAGCTTGTAGTATACTGTAGTGTGAAAAAGTCTTCGAGCTGCACATCCTGCCAGAGAATATACGCCTTCCGATCCAGACTATTGCGTTAACAGCTAGATCCCATCAAGCAAAGTTGCCAAGCCATTCGAAAAAGTTATCAAATCGCAAGGCATCCCGGCTGTATCTTTTTCCTACGAGCATACATGTCACACCCGGCTTGGCTTGGAGCTAACGCCCGCACTTCCTCGGAGAAAGCATCTTTCTATGTTTGAGCTCCCGTTCGCCGAATCATAATATCTTTCCCGGTTTAATTGATAATATTGTGTGAGTCCTTTTCTGTCTGTGGACCTGCGGTCGAGCTTTGGCTCCTTATCCGACCCCCCATCTTCAAAAGGCTGCTTTTGATGATATTTATTAATTACTTGGAAGAATCTCCGCGGAGACCTCCGTCTACCGATTGAGCCTTTGCATGTATAGCTATTGGGTCAAATAAAATTCAAGACATCAAAGGTTAGTGCAGCATATCCATCATCTAGACCGTACCGCTTGGCTTGGCACATGTAGATAGTCCCCTCACTTGAATTAGATACCGGAATAAACGGCAAGTCCACCTGACCACGTCTTTATATAAAGAAATTCTCCGGCCGCTGGTATAGTGGAAGTCTAGGGATTTCCGATTCTTCCTATAACGCCTGCTCCCACACGAGGTTGTCGTGACTCTGAATAGTGGTCCCATATCGCTACGTTCATAATGTCCAGCGAGACCGATTCGATTGCACCGACGCGGAATATGGCGGCCCAGAGTGCCTTTGCTTCTACGCTTGTGAATGACTCTGAGAAAGGGGGTCCGTCTAAAGCAGGAATCAGACCAGAGAAAGAGCACAAGAATATGTTCGGAGTGAAAATTAAAACTCCCGAAACCAATGCTGGATCAGATGCTGTATTTGCTGCTAAGGCGCAGTTACTGAATGCAGCTATGCTGGATGTTGGAATGGGGAAATATCAGTGGTTGCTCCTTCTAATGACTGGCGTTGGATGGTTCCTTGACAGTGTGAGTGACCACTTCTTTAATCCAATTTTGACGAAAGGTACTGATGCTTTTATTAGTCCTGGATGATGTCATTCTCGATCATTGCCCCATCAGCTGGAAATGAAGCTCAATTCTTCTTCACTGGCAATAAAGATGACTACCTCTTCATTAGCTTGTTAGTCGGGTTGACTGTTGGGGGTACCCTTTGGCCAATGATGTCGGATACACTTGGTCGGAAGTGGATGTTCACGAGCACGATTGTTCTCATGGGTATGGGTGGACTAGTGGGTGCTGGTATGCCCTCTTTCACTGGACTCTGCGTTGTGGGATTTGTTGTTGGCTTTGCGGTAGCCGGTAATCAGAGTGTAGACGCGATGATTCTACTAGAGTCCCTGCCTGCGTCACATCAATTTATGGTGGCGCTACAAGGTGTCTTTTGGGGGCTTGGTCAGTTGGTCGCGTCCGCTATTGGCTGGTAAGTCAAGAAATGAACAGCACAGCAGGAGGGCTGTCAATGTTAATGTTCGATAGGGCATTTATCGAGCTGTACACCTGCGGTACTGGCCCTGACGAAGTGAGCACCTCGCAATCAATGGCTCAAAAACGCGCACTCGGCCAATCAAGCAGCGCTTCATCTTCGAGCAGTAGCAGCTCATCCTGCCACTACGTCAGCAATAAAGGCTGGCGATACGTCTGGTGGACTTTCGGATGCATCACTATTTTCCTCTACCTGTGCCGCTTCGTATTCTCATTCTACGAAACGCCTAAATTTATGCTCGTACGTCGTCGAGATGCGGAGGTAACCCAGCTGGTCAAGGATATCGCTCTTTACAATAAACGCCAGACCTGGATCACTGAGGCATCTTTTGCTCGGATTGACTCCACAATCAATGCGTCTGAGAACGAGTTTTATACCAAGTCGCGAACCAATTCTCTTGTCTCTTCGCTTGGTCTCGGAGGCACCGTATGCCTTGCTCTCCTATGGATGGCCATGGGTCTCACTTTCATTCTGTATGAGACCTACATCTCGAATTATCTTGTAAGCTACGGTGTGGGAAAAGTCACCGCTCTCACAGTTACCAGACCATATCTGTATAGTCGCTATCTCTACATTGCCCTGTGCGCCATTCCTGGACCCTTGGTCGCGGCTCTCCTCATCGAAGTCAAGGGCATTGGCCGCAAACGCACCGGTGCAGGGATTGCGATCCTCACTGGACTGTTCATGCTTCTTGCGACAGTGTCTCGATCTCGTGAAGCTGCACTGGCTTTCGAATGCATTCTTAGTTTCCTGAAGCATGCCGGTCTCGCCACACTTACTGTCTACACTGTGGAGATTATTCCGACGCAGACTCGTGGATTCGGCCTTGGTGTGATGATGTTCTTTTGGGGCCTGTTCGGCTTGATCGCGTATGTCATGACTACCTTTGAAGGTTCGCATGTCTCGAGTGGTGGTCCTGTTTGGTTCTGTGGTGCTTTTTGGATTGTGCTGGCCGGGGCGTGGTTGGCCGTGCCTATTGAGACGCAGGCTATGGCGACTGCGTAAGTTGTCATGCAGAGTATGTAATGTCCTAAGTATAGGCGAAGAGAAAATTGGGTCCTGTCTACGTGAAGGGTAGTAATCTCCAGGGCTTTAGTGAAGGCGCTGACTTAGAACTCCGGATCTGCTCCACTTTACTCCGCAGATTTACCCAACTCACTTTCTCTAAAGATTGTAAAGTTTTATATACATCCAAATATAGTTTATAGATTAAACTATTCTGGGTTTTGCTTTTATCGCTGGAACCTGTGACGTTTCATGTTTACGGTTATCCGAGAGTCATCGATATGAAGGCGTGAACATCGAAACCACCAGTAATGTTCTAGAGATATAGGGCCGAGGCAGCCCAACCATAAGCTGAATACGTCTTTATGCATCATATTTGCTTATTAGTAGTGCCTGGTTCCTTCAGGCAGAAACTGGCAGCGCTTGAGTCCCGGCATAATTGGAATGTCTCGCGCATGCTCATGCTTCAATAACCACAGCATGAACCGCTCCATCCCAATCCCCCAACCAACCGTTCAAAGGAATTATTCCTCTCGAATCTCAACATACCAACGGTGTGAATCCATAGGCACCTTGTGCTGTCTCAGAGCATCCTTGACCTCTTCTCCGGTTCGAACCCTCTCGCCCAAACCGCCTGTTTCTCCAATCACCAGCAGTAAATCTCCGCACCGTGCCTTAGCTTTCGTCTCGTCGGGCGTATGCCTGATAGAATGCCACACTGTGGTGATCCATCGTCGTTAGCCACACCACACCCCCGTGTACCTCCAGCAAAAACTGCTCACTCTTCCGCGTAAGCTTCCTCCTTTTCTCCGGTGCGTCCGGCAGAACATACTCCCACATTAGGGAGTCATGTCCACACAGCGCAATCGCATCACCTAATTCGACTTGTGGAATCCGGTCGTGCACTGATGAGAATTGCGACACCAGATCGACAATATGGCGGGTCGTGCTGGCAGCGGCCTCGATCAGATCCCGATGCTTGCAGGACAGACGCCACCGAGGCCACGAAGCGTTCCATGACAGCCATCCCGTCGCCCAATCCACCCACGGGCTCACACTCGACATAATAAAATTGGTTCATTTGCGTTGAGTCAAGTTCCTCGCCGCAGAACGAGGGATTGACGTAGTATAGGCTTCGGGACCCTGGCTTTATGCGCAGCATGTACTGTCGGCCAGATAGGTCTCTTGACCATGGAGAGGGATCTACACCGGCAACGAGTCGGACCCGAGACCCTCGGCGAACTGATACAGTCGGTTGTCAGCGGCGCGAAGACGTAGTCGTACGACATGTGGTCCTGGAAGAAGCGAACGCAACTGTGGTAAAATGTGTTTTGTAGGACGAACATGGCCTGGTACCACGGACTGCGGAGAGTAGTGATGGAATGCAGACCGGACGTCTCCCAGGATCGTGGAGGACGTAGTCGGGCCGATGTGATAAAACCGCGCAGGTCACCAGGCTGAGCATCGCGGCATTGTCGTGCTGGAGAGAACCTAGATTCGTTGTGAGGTAACTGGGATAGTCGCTGTCCTGAGACGGGCGGGCTTTTGACCACCGTTGATGCGGCCGTTGGCGAACAAGGCTTGAGTTGAAATGAAATGCTGGCGTAGCTGGTCTCTTTGTTGGATATCGTAATGGCGACGTGTTGGATCTCCATCTCCTCTTGCAAGGCTCGTCAGTCTGAGAAGAGCGGCCTGATAAAGTCGTTCAGATCGGCCCGGGATGCCAGTGGTTTTGCGAGCTTGTCCCCGAAGAGAAACAGATAACCTGAATGAGACGTGGGGTGTTATATCACACGCAAATACGCCTTGCTGCCACCGTGGCACTTTGGAGAGAGTGATTTTTCCGTTGACTCCTGTGACTTTGCCATTTGCGGATGGCATTTTATCAAGTTAGGACTGGCTTAGCCATACTGTCAACTAAAATAAGAAAGAAAGCGACCCATCATCTTCGGGCACAACTTACATGCAATGAGCCCCATCACGGCATGGCTTCTCAGGGGGAGCGATGTAATCTATCTGCCAGTCTAATGTCGAGACTTTTGGGGTACAAATGACTTACCAACTTGCCTGGGTAGCGTGGGTAAGGGACGCATTCGCGTACAGTATGACCCTTCAGAGTCCAAGATATCTCTTGATGCTGATTCCGTAACCACGATGTGCAGAAGCTCCGTACCTGATTCTCTGTTGTTCAAACCTACCAAGCAACAAGGCATGGCTGGCTTACTTTCTGGGCTACAGATAGAAAGCATATGCTTCCAGGTCCCACTTATTCTCTCTCATAATAACTAGCAGATCCCCCAGAGCATCTATCCTCATACCTGATCCGACGACCTTTCCCAAGCCAGGCACAAGGCAGTCCACGCTTTTGATCACCGGGCGATCTAGGGGCAAGTAGAATATCGATCAAGCCGCAAAGGAGATCCTCGATGTGATGAAGTCTGGTTCGCTTTCAATATAAACCCTATACACAAAACATGTCTAAGATCTTCAAGCGCACTCTGCTGAAATTTTGATTGGCAAAATAAAAGCGGAAAGAAAGTGGAGGTTTGTTTTGCAGACGATTCGAACTTATTGAAGGTAGCGAAGAAGTGCGAGTAAGTAAGAGACGGAAACCCGATGATCCTATACCGCCCCTGAAACTTCAAAATCACTCGGGGGCGTTGATAGGCAGGCGCCAATATGCACCCAGGGATTGGAATCTTAATGACAACGATGTTGATGAGAAGTAAGTCTCTTCAATGGGGCCTGATTGAAATATCTATCGTTAGAAGCTCCTGAATAGTGATTTAGACGCAACGGTTCAATGATGTAAAGATTGTATCCGGGATAATATTTTGCCTTGAATCTGGGAAGATAGATATGAGAAAGGAGATGCAAATCTTAGTTAACAGTGCGTATCCCGGACTGGGTATGCAGGTTATTTTGCGTTTAAACCGATTGGAGGCAGTCAAGAGGGCGTGGACAACTCAGATACTACAATATGAACAAAAATAATTGTGGCGGTCAAGAAACCATAGTCACCATGGCAGGTAGATAAGTGGATGATGTCTGTCAGCCGGGTCTAGGCGGAATGTGTCTTTCAGTCTTACTTAATTTCGAGGTCTTTTTGTGATCTCACCTAAGACATTGGTAAAACCACTACTGCGCTTCACCTTATACGGCTAGACAAGTGAGATGTGGCCAAAATTGCACAATTGCGATATCCCTTGAGGTTGCCCCTCTTGTATATTTTGTGTTCTTAAATAAAGTTGAGAGCACAAAATTATATTTCCTCGCCAATTCTTTGCTGCAGGAGATACTAGCAGATCCCTTCGGTGCCTCCTTCAACTAACCAAGGAAATAGAGGGTTAAGACTCGGTTATGACCCGTGCGTAGAGTACTGCATGAGGCGTTTTAACGTGGCTTGATCCTTAAATAGCTACACCTCGAGAATCATTTCTCCCGAGTCCCAACTAACCATTTTGGTGCCACCGGTATATGGCGCCAACATAGTCAGCACACTTGCAGCAGTGCATCCGCCAAATACATAAGTATATATTCTTCGCGCTGCTACCCCTTGCTTGAACAATAGCAAATATTTCATTATGTCCCAAATTATTTTGTTCGCTCTGGTGGCCTTGACCGCACTACCAACTGCATTCGGTCTTCACCCAGTCGACGTAAATGTCCTTCACAACTTCGACAGTGGCGTTTGGGCTGAAAACCTCGCCGTTCGTGCTAATGGCCAAATCCTTGTCACGCGTTTTGACACCCCCGAAGTTCTCCAACTCGATCCAACGGGTTCCAAGGCTCCCACAGTGGTCGCTTCTTGGGGACCTGCTACCTACATGGGCTGCCTTGGCATATCCGAAATATCCGCCGACGTTTACTATGTGGTAGTCTCTGGGTTCCTTGACGACAATTTTGTGCTCACCTCGGGCGTGAACAGCATTTGGGAGATCGACATGAGCACCTTCGCTGTCTCCAGAGAGACTGGTGAGGTGGTCTCCAACGCAACAGTCTCTAAGCTGGTCGATGTCACTACTTCAGGCTTTCTCAACGGTCTGACTGCCTTATCAACCTCAGCAGTTCTCGTTGCCGACTCTTACAAAGGATGTGTATATCGTGTGGATACACGGACGGGTAAGTATGAAGTAGTAGTCAATGACACCAAAATGAAGTTCGACTCTATTTCGGAGCCTGCGGTTAATATTGGGGTTAATGGTATCAAGATTCGCAACGGATATCTTTACTGGACCAATACAGCGGTCGGTACTTTGAACCGTATCCGCGTCTCAAATAAGGGGATTCCTTCCGGTAGATCGGAGGTCGTTGTGAATAACGTTGCCACGGCCGACGACTTCACCTTCGATTCCAATGGTGTTGCTTTCATTACTCAGAACTTTATGGATGAACTGAGTATCTTGCATTCCAAATGGGAAGCAGCTGAGGTCATCGCTGGCAGCAATATATCGACTATTCTCGCCGGCGTGACTGCCGGAATATTTGGCAGACTGCCGGGTGATGAGAGCATTCTATACTTGACCACCAGTGGCGGTAAATTACCTTGCCCCTTGCCACCGTCAATTTCAATTTTTGCATATCTGGAGCTCTGGAGCTAACCCATTGAATAGCTGCAGGTAGCCCCATCAATGGCTCTGTTACGGTTCCTGCGACCCTTTCTTGGATCGACACATCGAAGATCAGAGCATAGAATTTAAAACTGATCTTACACATTGACGATCAGACTGTGTTGTATTTTTTCGTCGATCTGAGAGTGGTACTTTGCCACTAGAGATCGGATGGTTCAGCGGCTAGTCTAAATCCTCGCATGTTCTGTGGTATACTGGATCAACTCGGGAATACTCACGTTTCAGAAAAGCCTTAGCCGCTGAGGTCTAGGGACACTTCAACAGTAGTCTCTGGGATAATCAAAATGTTCAAGCAATCATGAGACTTGGTTCCGTGAGCAATAGCGTATACAAATATCGTACAAACTGACAGCTTCTTTACTTATCTCGTTCCCGGGAAGGTTCATACATGAATTAGATAATGTCCCAAATATAAATTTGATCGATTCATGTGTCGCGCCTCGCGGAACTTCAATCGCAAGAAGAAAGAGAGGGTGGTGAAAGAGAGGGTGGTGAAAGAGAGGGTGGTGAAAGAGAGGGTGGTGAAAGAGAGGGTGGTGGAAGAGAGGGTGGTGAAAGAGAGGGTGGTGAAAGAGAGGGTGGTGGAAGCGAGAGAAGGACGCAGAAGTGCTGACCACGCTGTAAACAACAAGGACTTAATGTGGCAGAATCCTCAGGAATCTGAGTCATGCATCAGATTACACTCAAAATTGTCCCACAGTGGGCGAGGGGTAATTTTCTTGGCCTACGCCAATTTCGAATCTAGATGTACGCGCTTGGTTTTGACACTTTCAAGAGGCCTGTGGAGACGGGTTACTATGATGCTGACTGCAAACTGGATGGGACGATAGGTATCTACACAGTAGCGACCAATTTGCTTTTCTCGTCGAGGGAAAAGAGCTGGATCGATGGGATGAAAGACAAGACGATTTTGATATAATGGCTCTATAGGCCATTTGAAGGGTGCTTGATCATTGATGATTACTACAATACTGACTTTTACCAAAGCCCAGGTCCACGTTTGCTCAAGTTCCATTCGTTGAGAGATCTATCAGCACTCTGTTCCTCTGCCGGCCATCATCTGGACGATGTGGGAGTGATCTAGTTGATGGGCGATCTCTAGCGCACTTTGAGCCTCCCTGTTCCTTCTCGTAGGCTCAATGCCCTTAAATTCGAGTAGCTTTTCCACGAGGGAAAGATTGCCGTCACGAGCTGCAGCAATGAGATAAGTATCTCCCTTCTGGTTGTTCTGGCAATTAATGTCAAGTCGGCTGTCGTTCAAGAAAAGCTGAACTACCGACATTGAATGCGTTCGGATTGCCAACCACAGAGGATCGTCTTCCCTTTCGTCACTTGCGTTGAGCCGAATACCATCTGCCTTGAGCAGCATATCCACTACCTCATAGACGCCTTGATAAGCAGCAGCTCCAAGAGGACTTTGTCTGCCATCTCCTTGGATATTTGGATTCACTCTGTGTAAATGTGTCGATGAAAGAATACAGGAGACCATCCGGACATTCGTGCGAAAATAGGCGATGTAGAGAGCTGTGGTTTGCCATCGTGGATTGGTGCCACCCCTGAAATTGATATCCACTCTGCTGTCATTGAGAAACCGCTCGCTGATATCGTCACGCCCGAGGTGTACAGACAGCCAGAAGGCAGAGTTGCCTTGGTGGTCCCCGCAATTTATATCAAGGCAATTGTTAGAAAGGAGCAAATCGACTGCACCTAGCTGACCGTAACAAGTAGCAACATGCAATGCCGTGTACCCATACCGATTTTTCGTGTAGAGATTGATGTTCCTGTGCTCTAGCAGTACGTTGATGACTTTGAGGTCACCGTAGCGCACTGCTCGTATCAACGGTGTTTCGTTGTCCGAATTAAGAATAATATTGACATCTGCACCCAACTCCAGAAGAAGCTTCATGGCATTGGCGCTGTCAGGAGTATTGGCGTGGTCTGAAAAAAGTTCATCAAGGCTCGGGCCGTGCTGAAGCATCTCGGTTACAGGCACAGTCGGTCGAGAATGCAGTAACATCCAGGCTATGATTCTGTCGGGGGCGTCACCCTGCATTAAAGCAACATGAATGGGCGCCACCCTTTCATAGTCCGCCACAGTAGGGTCTGCACCACACCTAATAAGGAATTCGGCTTTCTGATAGTCCCGCGTCTTTACATAGTACCACAGCATTGTTCGACCCTGAGAATCCCATATATCGACATGTGCATTCATGCATTTCAATACATCCAAAAAGCTCTCGACATTCTCTTGAGAGAGGGCTTTCGAACCGCGAGTACGTAATTTTATGATGCTGGACTGAGTAAAAAGTCAGTGCTGCAATCCCTTGATCCCATTCTATGTAATGTAACTTACCATTGAGAGGTTTTGTGAGGCTATTTGAGATGTGGAAGTAATCAGAGTCGAGTGAGAAGAGCGGTTGAGGATAAATGGTGAGAAAAGAGCAGGCCGCAGCTATATTTATACCACATCCCGTTGGCAAGGACTAACCTTACAAAATTTATATCGTCGTATGGAGCCGCATTCAATTCCTGCGCCCTCAACGGGATACCGCTTGCATTCTAGTACCGCTCGCGTTCTAGTACCAGCAACAAGCATTGAAGCTTCAAGGATCTCAATCCCAGATCCTAGGAGCAATCTGTTCCAATCCTGGAAAGGCCATAAGTCCCCTCGGAGGCCCAAGCAGCTCTACCGCCCCTATTATTGCAAGATCAGGTTGTTTCAGTGACTAGGAAAATACGACCAAATTATTACGACAGCATGATTTGAGTCATGTCTAGTCGATACCTGTCACGGTGTTAGTAGCTTGTATGGGTGTTTACGCCCATTTTACATGCGAAAACAATATTATGGAATCTAAGCACGCGCTGAACCTTTAACCAGAGTTAAAAAATGTGGTCAACTTCCTCTTTCGGAACTCGACACAATTGTCTGCCGTCATCCTCGTCTTGTCAATGCAATATCCACACCAATCTCCTGGGAACGAAGTGGATGCGAGAAAGGGAGTACTACAATAAGCAGATATGACTCAAATAGTGCAACGGATTACAATACCCACACATACACGAGTCTTCAGTTAAATTATTGGCCGATATCAGGCAATGGTTCCCAGGAGCATGTGGGTCGTCCAAATCATAGAATCATTGGATGCTATTAATGCTAGATCAGGTTTGCCAATGAAAATGGGCCAACCGGGTCCATGCATGCCCCACTATATAGCCTTGGTAGACATGATTGGCGCTGGCCTGGCTGTGAACTTATTGAGTCCTGGGAATGACAGAGCTCGTTACCATACCATTGCACGTTATGGACGACACCCGGCCCAAAACGAGGTCATGGGCGAAGAACATATAAATACATGCACTCCGTCCTGATTTATCCTGTTCTCTACATGGAAAATCAATCGAGCCATCTCTACAACTGAGTGATCTTATCTTTGTCATCAAGATTCAAGCGTGCGTGATTTTATTCGGAGATGTCAATCGAATTTACTTCGAATAACCACTACCTCCAGGTGGGAACCAATCGTGGCAACATCCATGTCTTTACCGAACCAAGATCAGCCAGTCATTCTGAAGACACTCTTCATATGGCTATGCTCCCAACCAGCAATGTCTATTCTTTTGAAGATATCGGTTACTTGGACAACTTTCCCCCAATCAGTTTCTTCTCCCTGGTCATATACCCTGATAGAATGTTGTGTTTCTCAACGAGCACGTCCTTGATATTACTCAAGCCCTGGAGGTATAAGAAGGCAAACGAGAAGTTACATATTATATCAGGCAATGATAGTATTGAATAGTATCAAGGAACAATTCACATAGCCTCAATTGAAACTTGAAACTACCCTCACTCATGTGAGATATCCGTGTGTATTGACAGTAAATACTATTTCCATTGAATGCCTGAATATCGACACCAACGGCCTCAGCCTTTCTAACAATAGCCCTTGCCTTCTGCGCAACAGGCACATCAATCATCTTACCATCCAGAGTCCAAGCTCCGCGCCCCGCGGCAGCAGCTTATCATCAGCAATCACACACCGCACCGCCCACGTCGTCTCCTCCTCCTGTGGACCAAATATATCGTTCGCAACATTCACCTGCGACGGGTGAATACACTGCTTGCCATTGAATCCAAGTCGGTGTCCATGAAGACACTCCTCCTGCAGCACAGCCGGCGGCGACCCATCTCTTTTCTCAGACTTGTATGTTGTGCAGACAAGATCGATTGTCGAGGGGAGGTTGGCTGCGCGTGCTGCAGTAGCGATTGCCGAGCGCGCGAAAAGAAATTACAGGTATTACCTCATTTCAACTTCATTCTTAATAAATACAGTACTTTTTTTTAAACCACCAGTTCTAGCCGGTGCCTCGTTAGAAATCCTGTTCGGCTGTTTGTCTTACTCCGATTGATTCTTCCATGAATATTATGGTATACTTTGGCCTAGTCTACTCAGAATTCTTGTGTTTTGAATATGCCCGCAAAGGCTACACCTAAATCGCAGCGGCCAGTGCGTAATGCCGTTCCTATCTCGGGTTCAAAGGAGAGACGTGGGTACGTTGTGGACATAATTGTATCAGCCCTATCCAATTATGGTAGGTGTTATGGTAGGCTCAGGCTCCCAGGAGCTCACAGCCAAATTTATGCCAATTATTTCTACGGGGGCTTTGTGGCAGACGTGGATCATTCATAGCACCGATTGGCTCATTCTTCCTCCGATCTATTATCAGTATCCAATGATCGCATCAATATAAACGACCCACAGGCTCCTGGGAGCCATGGCCAAATATCCACCAATCATTTCATAGTCGACTTGCACGCATGTGAGCCATTGATGGCACTAATTGGCTTATATTTCCTTATTGTATTACCCACTTTCCCCCATCCGCTTCGGTCCCAGGAGATTGATGTGGATAATGCCTTTGCGAAGACGGGGCAGATCGCAGAGGTTTGTTCTACGAAAACGTAATCGACCTAATATCTGACCCACTATACAAGGGACTCTGTTGTAATGGGGTTGTGTGAATCAGTCTCGCGCCGTAATATAGCTTGCATCTGCTTGGT